TGTCAAAGCCCTGCTGCCTTCTGTTGTCACCTGCATTGGAGACCCCTTTTATAAGATCACATCAGAAGCTCTGCTGGTGACTCAGCAGCTTGTGAAAGTTATCAGGCCTTTGGACAAAGCCTACACCTTTGATGCCAAGCCCTATGTGAAGGACCTTTTCCCTGGTACTCTGAAGCGGCTGAAGGCAGCTGACATCGACCAGGAGGTGAAGGAACGTGCCATCTCCTGCATGGGACAAATCATTTACAACTTGGGAGACCATTTAAGCACTGACCTCCAGCCAACCCTGAAGATATTTCTGGAGAGGCTCAAAAATGAAATCACCAGACTGACAACAGTCAAAGCATTAACCTTAATTGCTAGTTCTCCACTTAAAATAGATTTGAGACCCATCCTAGGGGAAGGTCTCCCCATTCTAGCTTCCTTCTTGAGAAAGAATCAACGTGCCTTGAAACTAAGCACTCTGAATGCTCTGGACATCCTGGTGAAGAACTACAGTGACAGCCTCAAGCCTGCCATGATTGAGGCTGTGCTAACAGAGCTCCCCGTCTTAATCACCGAGAATGACATGCACGTGTCCCAGGTGACCATCATGTTCCTCACGACTTTGGCCAAGGTTTATCCATCCTGTATCTCCAAGATCAGTGGCTCTGTCCTTGCTGAAATCTTTCAGCTTGTCCACTCACCTTTGCTTCAAGGAGGGGCCCTGAACGCCATCATCGACTTCTTCCAGGCACTGGTCCTGACAAAGACGGCTGCCGTGGGTTACCCGGAGCTGGTGAAGCAGCTGACAGCACCCGTTTACTCCTCGGGCTCAGCCGGGGCCTCGCTGACGTTGCACAAGCAGGCGTATCACTCCATCGCAAAGTGTGTGGCAGCCCTGTCCTCAGCCTGCCCTAAGGAAGCCCCTGCGACAGTGAGCCAGTTTGTCCAGGATGTGAAAAGTCCCAAGTCCGGCCCTGCCGTGCAAGTGCTGGCTTTCCTCTTCCTGGCAGAGGTGGGCCGCACCACGAACCTCAGTGCTCAGAGGGAGCTCAGAACCGTCATCCTGGAAGCGTTCTCTTCCCCCAGCGAGGAGGTGAAATCCGCCGCCTCCTACGCGCTGGGGAACGTCAGCGTTGGCAATCTGAAGGAGTACCTGCCCTTCATGCTGAAGGAGATCGGAAGCCAGCCCAAGCGACAGTACCTGCTGCTGCACTCCCTGAAGGAAGTCATCAGCTGCTCCCCAGCCGACAGCCTCACGCCTTACGTGGAGGATATCTGGGCTCTGCTCTTCAAGCACTGCGAGTGCGCGGAGGAGGGCACGCGCAGCGTGGTGGCGGAATGCCTGGGGAAGCTGGCTTTGGTGAACCCCGCTGAGCTGCTGCCCCGGCTGAGGAAACAGCTGTCAGCAGGTAACGGGGAGGGCAGTGACCACAGCAGGGAAATGCTGCCTTCTGATGGGAATTCATTTTGTATACTGCTTGTGGCTACAACAGGGAGCAAGGCCAGTTGAAAGGGGAGCAGGTAACAAGATGGATCTCTCTGCAAGGAGAACCAGAGGAGCACTGGTCCACACAAGACCAGGAAGGTGCAGGGAACAGGGACTACACAAGGCAATTGTGCAGGAGTGGATTCAAACACAGAGTTGATAAGAAGAATCCTCTACTCCCTTATAACACATGTGTAACAGGATCAAGGACAGAATATGTACTACAGAGCTACAGCAGTGATTTTCTCTCATTTTTCACTGTTTTTCTTCCCCTGTTCATTGCAGGCTCCCCGCATGCCCGGAGCACGGTGGTTACTGCCATCAAGTTCACGATTACAGACCAGCCTCAGCCTATTGATGCTCTCCTGAAAGGCTGCATAGGTAGGCTGGTTTGGACAGGGGTGTGAGCAGGGGGCATGGGAGGTTGGGTGTTGTTAGCAGCTCAGGGATTTTCCATTCCTGTGTGAACCTCATCTAGTCCAGTTAGTTTTTATCAGTGTTTCTCAGCTTTTAGGATTAAACAGCAACACTTACTGAGAGTCCTTGCTAACTGCACTGATGCATTGCTCTTGGGCTTGTTCTGTTGTTTTTTAGAGTGCTTAAGTTCTTTCTGCATGTAAACTCAGAATCCCAGCACCCCACAAAAGGATCTTCAGAAGTATAACCTACCCTAGGAGTGTCTGATGTCCAGGGAGCCCACAAAAGCATCTGCTGTATAAAACTGGCCCTCCTGTTTCAGAGAAGTTTGATCAGATGGGATCTAAGCAAGAAAAATCCCGCACAACTTCCTTGAATAACCAGGCTTCTGATTTGATTTAGGGTAGAGGAGCAAGTCACATCATTTGTTTTTATGCCCAAATGCAGGGTAGTCATGTTCCTTTACTGTATCCCAAATGGAGGGAGAGAAAGCATCTCGAATGGCTCTGACAGACTGTGCTACTAGTTATTTTACCATTAATGCTCTCATAACCAGCCTCCTTGAAACACATCCCAATGTATTTTAAATTACTGCAAAAATGTTGCAGCCTGTTGGCTGCAGGACTGACTCATGTGCTCTTATCCCACAGGTGACTTCTTACAAACTCTGCAAGATCCAGACCTCAATGTTCGCCGTGTGGCTTTAGCCCTGTTTAATTCTGCTGCTCACAACAAGCCTTCTTTAATCCGGGACTTACTGAACTCAGTCCTCCCCAGCCTGTACAATGAAACCAAAGTGCGGAGGGAGCTCATCCGGGAGGTAACTGGGCTGGGCGGGGGGCACACGGTGACACAGCAGCCTGCAAAGCCCCCATGGAGCTGCTGCTGTCTGCTCTTCGGTGACAGCTGTGCTGTTTGTCTCGGTTCAGGTAGAGATGGGGCCGTTCAAGCACACAGTGGACGATGGCCTGGATGTGAGGAAAGCCGCTTTTGAGTGCATGTACACCCTGCTGGAAAGCTGCCTGGACCGGCTGGACATCTATGACTACCTGAACCACGTGGAGGATGGGCTGAAAGACCACTATGACATTCGGGTAGGTGCTGTGCCCTGACTGTCACGTTGTGTGTGGGGTCTGGGCTGCAGTCAGGCCGTGTATCCTGAGCCCCGCGGTGCAGCGTCCCCAGGGCTGCACCTGCAGCACTGCGCACCCCTGGGCCTGCTGCAGCTCCAGCCCCTGGCTGCCAGGGTGCGCCTGCAGCTCTCAGCAGAGCCCCTTGCACAAGTGCAGAGCTCGGTGTGGGTACAGCCGAGCCTCCAGCAGAGCTGGGTGCCCCAGAGCACCAACACGTTGTCTCCCCTCCCGGGCAGATGCTGACGTTCATCATGCTGGCGCGGCTCTCGGTGCTCTGCCCCAACGCCGTGCTGCAGCGGCTCGAGCGGCTCATCGAGCCCCTCCGGGCAACCTGCTCCACAAAGGTAAGAGCAGGATCAGTGTGGGTCCTGCCCAACGCTGCCCCTGCTCCTGGCCTTCTCCCTCAGTGCTGCTCAGCCACCCGCTTCCCTCACTTCCCCAGCTGGAAAATTCTCTGCCAGCCTTTGCTGCTGGGTTGGTTGTGTGCCTGTATGGGCTTTTCTAAATGCCAGCTGAAAACGGGGCTTTGGATTTGCAGGTGAAAGCTGGTTCGGTGAAGCAGGAGTTTGAGAAGCAGGATGAGCTGAAGCGCTCAGCCATGCGGGCAGTGGCTGCTCTCCTGACCATCCCCGAGGTGGAGAAAAGCCCAGCAATGGCAGAGTTTTCATCCCAGATCAGATCCAGTCCTGAAATGGCATCACTTTTTGAGAGCATTCAGAAAGATTCTGCTTCCCTCCCCACCTCAGAGTCAATGGACATGAGCTAAGATGTTTATCCCCAGCACCCTCCTGCCTTGGGATCCCTCAGCCAGACACCAGCTGGGTGGGGAAGAACAACTGCCACTGGGCTGCTCTTCTGCCACAGCCAAGTCCAAGTCCCCGGGCAGCCCCAGAGAAACTGGGGACGGTGTGTTAAATCTGACAGCTGGATGTGACTGGCCTGATCCAGCTGCCTTCCTATCGGACACCTCAGAGAATTGGAATGAGACCCGAGATCAGGGAATACAGCCTCACATACGGGAGGGGCTGGAAGATGAATATTCCCGTTTTATCAGGAAGTTTTAAGGGGTGCACAAAGCAGTCACAGTTGTGGTTCCATGAACAATGGAACTTGCTTCCTCAAATACTCCTTACTGCAGTCACAAAGGTTTTTAATCACTGCACATGCACTTTCTACCTTAAATTGCCCAAGAATGTATTTATAGTGTTTAACTAAAAAACATGGCTGAAAACTGGAAGCCATGTAGTAATGAGTTCATCCCACAGGCCTTTTGGGAAAGACTTGCACCTGCCAAGCTGCTGAGGCTGCACAGGGCAGGGGAGTTACCCAACACCCCCACCCTCCTCCTGGGGCTCCAGTTTGACATTTGGGCAAGATGAAGCTTTGTTGCTTGGCTTTCATATTTATGGTTTTGACTGCAAAATACCTCAGCCCTCTTCCCTGAGAGATGATTACTGACTATTTCAGTGACAAACCCTGCTTAAAGCTTTGCTTTGCACTAACACTGGCTTCTCTCTCCCCTTGGAGCACCTTGGTGTTGGTGTTAGCAGCCACAGGGGTGTGCTGGTCAGTGTCAGTCACAGGGCTCAGAGGGGCAGGCAGGAGCCAGGGGTGCAAGCACACAGCCCATGGCGGCTGCTGTGCTCAAATCCTGCTTTGTGCAAGAGAAAATGCCTTAAGAGACAAAGGTTCTAACAGCCAACTAGAGGATGACGCAATCATGACACATTGCTCTAGCCATGAACTGCTCTGTGGTTTTTTTTCTCTTTTGACAGAGTGGTTGATGTGAATAGTGTTTATAGTGCTGTGTGAAAGGACATGTGTTGTCTGGGTGGTATAGAAAATAAAATACACTTTGAAGCTGCGTACCCTGAGTTCACTGACCACCACCATGACACTGCTCCTCGAGTGCCCGTGACAGCAGAGCCCTGGAGCCAAACACAGGCTGCTGCCCCTCCTGTGCCCATGCAAAACAGAACCCGAGTTGGACTGAGGCTTTATTAAATACACCTGTGCTGCAGAGGCTGCTACTCGTTCTCCTCGCTGCGCAGTCTGGCGTTGGGGTTGGTGATCTTGATGGCGAGCTGTGCGGCTCTCTCCACGATCACCTTCCTGTTCTTCGAGGACACGTTGTGGGCAATCTCTGCACAGTACGACCTGTTGGAGACACACAGCGTTGGCCTTGGCTCCAGCAGCACCCAGAGCTGAGGCAGAGCCCTCTGGAGCCAGGCCACCAAGGGACAGCGCTGGAGCTGTCCTGCCAGCAGTACTCAGGCACAGCTGGGCTCGGGAGCATCACTGCACGGGCACTGAACCATGACTCCCACCCCTCACTGGCCTCAAGCAGGAGCTCCGCTCCAGAAAAGCTCAGCTTTTCCTGAGAATGACTCAGCCAAAGGCCGTTGTTAATTATTGTTCTTACTACTTTGTAGCAAAAACAAGCACTGGAGCAGACTTGTGCCCAGGTCTGACCCAGAGCTCCAGTTCTGTCTGTGGTTACCAGTGATGTGGCACAGCCCTGCTTGCCACCGTTGTGTATTTTTGCCAAGGGGATGAGATTGCCAGCCCCAAGGCCCCTCTGTGCCCCTACCCTCCAGCAGCCATTCACTGAGGGAACAGTGATGGCATCTGTGCTCTCAAAGCAATGATTTTCCTCGTTTCCCGTGACCATGCCACCCCTCCCAGGCGGGAGTACAGCCCCCACACACTCACTTGTTGCTCATCATCAGCACTTCCAGCTCTTTTACATTGTGGACCAGGAACTTTCTGAAGCCTGTGGGCAGCATGTGTTTTGTCTTCTTATTGCTGCCATAGCCGATGTTGGGCATCAGGATCTGTCCCTTGAAGCGCCGGCGCACTCTGTTGTCGATGCCTCTGGGTTTGCGCCAGTTGCGCTGCACAAATGCAGAAAACAGTTACAAAACGAGACCACCCTGACCACAGCTGGCCTGAGGGCTGCCTACACCGGCCCCCACACTCCCTGCCCAGCTGCTGCACCTTGGCACCATCCTGCTGGGCTTTCCTTCACCACCTACACCAAAGGCACCCCAAAAGTTCTGTTCTGGGGAAGCTGCAGCAACTCCTCACCTTGATCTTGACATAGCGGTCAGACTGGTGCCGGATGAACTTCTTGGTTCTCTTCTTGACGATCTTGGGCTTCACGAGAGGCCTGAGGGCAGGCATGG